AACCAAGATACTATTGAATACCGAACTAAAAAAACATATTGAATTAATAATTAAAAAAATCAACAAAATACTTATATAAAACTAGAAACAAAACAATATATAATCTTGATCACAAACAAAATACAAGAAAAAATAGAACAATGATTCCCTGAAACAATAACATATAGATTCAATAGGCAGACTCAAAAGTAGAAACCATCTTAAATCTAGAAGAAATACCTGTAGACAATATTTCTGCAAACCCAACGATATTAATACAATTAATATAAGAAACCCAAGCTTTCTTGAAAGAAATAACCTGTGAAACAAGCATAAAATATATACATGAAACAATTCTACCAAAATTATATATTTGCACAACATACCGAGACTATATTAATCTCAAAGAAGAATTAATAACTACAACACTTACTGAATCATTAACTTATGAACCTTAAAACAAGAATTCAAGGAATCAAATCAGTCTGTGTATTATTAAAAGCAGCACTAACAACTAGACAAATATACAATCGACAAGACGATAAAGAATTTTATAAAGCACAAATAAGTAATAATATACTTACACTAACAATATGATCTCATGAAGAAGATATACCTGAAACAATTAAAGAAAGAATAGGAGCAGTATTCAATAGATTACCTGCAAATAATCCTAACCTAACAGAACAACAAAGAACTGATATTGATTATTGGCCAACTGACCAAACACTGTTGATATTACATATTGAAGAACTAATTGAACAAACAGATATTTGGTTAATAACCAATACAACATTAAAAATCTACTGTCAATACTAATATGATTGCAATCATATGATTATATTAAAATGATAGATAATCCAATAGACATACTTTTAGAAGAACTACGAAGTGAATATAACTCTTTACACGTTGAGCGCTATGTTACCTTTTAAAGAAAGAACACCTTACCCAACAGATCACTTCAACCCAAAAAATAAAGATAAAAACAGAGATATATTAGAACAGCGACCAATAGGAAGTATACAAAGAGACATAAAACGAACAACATCAGCAAAATTTTTAAGCAGATATATATCGATATATAGCAGTTAATCGATATATATCGATTAAAAATTATCG